GTGTGTGTGTGTGTGTGTGTGTGTGTGTGTGTGTGTGTGTGTGTGTTCGTAGTGCAGCTAGTGGTTAGCTAGCTGTATGCCATTATGATTAATGTTGAAGCGAGTTGTCTTTGGACCAGTTACTTGTTTAGGACCAGCTGGGTTCAATAAATAATCCTAACAAGCTATAAATTGACTTGTTACTGAGTGGTTGAATTTTCCTAACAAAGCTGATTTTATCAAGGATTCCTGGCTCACACACTAAAACTAATATCTTATAAAAACTCAGCCTATATAAACTTCAGACAAGGTTATGCTGTTGTTCAGATTTAATGACTTTATCAGTGTTTAAAATTTACCTTTTCTGCAGAAGAAGCTGTTCCTCTTCCATCACTTGTGGGGAACTGCCCAGGGCATAGGTGCGTTCATGGGCCCAACACGGGTGGGAATTTCCAGCACTTCCACATAAACACTATTTTGAAACTAATAAACCACCCGGTTACATATATCTTATTGTTTAAAAGAAAGATCACAACTTTATAATGAAATTGTGTGTAATAGATTCATGTAGAAATCAATCATTACTATAAATAAATTTTAAAAAATCAATTCCACTTAGGGGGCCCCCTAGTGGCCACAGGGCCCTAAGCAGCCGCTTAGTGTGCTTATGCGGCGGGCCGGCCCTGCACAAGGAGACCTAAAAAGTTCAGGAGGGTGGCTGGGAGGCCGTCCAACTCGCTGGAGAGGATCGGTCGAGCAGCCCAGAGGCCATCCAGCACATGACAGGAGTTCAGGAGGCCGTTCAGCATGGGTCAGCAGTTCGAGTGAGCGACCGATGGAGACGTTCACCCTGAGGGTCCATGACCTCCCAGCATGGGGAAAGATGAGTGGGGAACCATTGGTTCTTCAGCAGGCAGGGTGACCCAGGAGGCTGCTGCTGGCATAGAACACCCCATGAAAAGCAAGGCGCACACAGGGACCAGTGAGGAGCACACGGGCTGCAGCTGGCATCAAGGAAATGTCTGTAGTCTGTGTGGAGGCCTCAGTGGTCTGCGTGGAGGCCTCAGCAAACTCGGGATGCCCAGGCTGAGGCGTGGGATCCTCTGTAGACTCCAGATCTTTGGCGGAAGGTTCAGAGTCTTTGGCACAAGGTTCAGAGTTTTTGACAGCAGGGTTGGGACCAAGCATAGGATTCAGGGACATAGAACCCTCAGCAGACTCTGGTCTCTCAGGCAAAGGCGTGGAGACCCCAGGACAATGGGTGACATGAGGGGCGTCCGCCAGGACCCTCCTGGAACAGGAGACATGGGAGGCGGTAACTGGTGACAGGTGATGTGGTCTTGGAACCAGCCCCTGAAAATTCTGGACCTCCTACAGGTTCTGGACCTCCTGCAGGTTCTGGGACCGCTGCCACTTCTAGAAACCCTGCAGGTTCTGGAAACCCTGCAGGTTCTGGGACCACTGCCAGTTCTGGAAATCTTGCAGGTTCTGGAAACCCTGCAGGCTCTGGGACCGCTGCAGGCTCTGGGACCGCTGCAGCTTCTGGGACCGCTGCAGGTTCTGGACACGATCTCATAGAAAAACAAGAAGGTGAGTTTGAGAGTTTCTGGTACTCTACCGTCACAGAAAGCATTTGGGAGAAGTCCAGGATCAGCAACAGGCTGAGCAGCGTCTCCATGGTGTAGAAGGCAGTGAGTCTATAATGACAGTCCAGACTGAGGGAGGCGGCAACATAGATGTCCTGAAACTGTTTGGAAACGGCGGCAATGTCATCAGACAAATTAGTAAAGAAGTCCTCTGCAGAACCAGGGCTCTCTGCAGAACCAGGACCCTTGGTGGAAACTGAGCCTGCTCACCCCTCAGGAGCAGGGGCTCAGGTACTCCACCCCCCCCCCCCCCCCCCCACACACACACACACACACACCCACACACTGTGAGAGCCTCCATGGCTCTTCCACAGCATGGGAGTAAGTTTGCCCTGCAGGCAAGTTGGGGCACGGGCACTCCCCCCCACTTAAAATTTCTCCCCAGCTCCTCTGAACTCGTGTGGGAAGATTCGGGTGAAGGGAGGGGCTGACGATAACCTGTTCTGGTCCTTCTTTGCCATCTGCTTCTCCGGTGACAGCAATGTGAGCTAAGACCAGAACTGAACCAGAACCTCTCTTCTGGTTCTGCCTCCTCCTCACACGTCCATTCAAATAATTTGTCTGATGAGTGTGGTGTCGGAGAGGAGAAGGAGCTGGGTTTATAAGCCAGGTGGCTCCCCCAGAGCTGAGACCTCTTACGTTCCTCCTCTTTCAGTAGTAGAAGTGACTGGAGGATCTCTACGTCTAGGCTGCAGTGCCTTCGTCTCAGGATGGGTTTGATCCGGAACCCGCTCCAACGGATGACAGTCGCTTCTTCCTGGGCTTGTCTCATTTCTCTCTCCCACCGGGCAATCCTAGCAGCTCCTTGGACCCGGTGATTAGTTCGAGTCATCTGCCCGCTGGGTTCCTTTGATGGTCTGGGCATACTGTCAGGGGTGGTGTTTCAGGAGCAGAACCCAGTGGTGCAGGCAGTACTCAGAACCAGGGAGGAAAATTAGAAGCACTTTGATAATACGAAATCATAAGTTGACGTGGCAGCAAAACACATGTCATGAGGGAATAACCAGGGACACGAGGGAAACCAGATCACAAGACAATTACCAGACAATTCCTGCCCTATTTCTAATCTTCCATTCATCTCCAAAATTCTAGAAAAAACAGTTGCTTCTCAACTCCACCTCCATTTAACCAAAAACAGTCTATACAAACAGTTCCAGTCTGTAAGAAAGACTGGAACTCTAAAAAAAGAAACTGTCCAGATGACCTGACTGAAAAATGTTGGATTTTATACCTGGATTATTGAGCATGGACTTTGATTCTTTTCAACCAGTTTGACAAGACTGTCAACAAGGAAGAGGGCTGGCAATGGAGGAGGGGTGTACCAAAGAGACCATCCAATCACAAGCAGAACTGGTTTGTTCAACTTTGGAGTAAGCTTTTGGAGGAAGAATCAGTTTTGTTGTGCGTTTCCTTGACTGATGAAGCCTTCCGGATCGAAGGCGAAACGTTTCTTCACAAAAAAAGAAACTGTCCAGATGACCTGACTGAAAAATTTTGGATTTTATACCTGGATTATTGAGCATGGACTTTGATTAGTTCCAGTCTGGTTTCTGCCCCGGTCACAGCACAGAATCTGCTCTCCTTAGAATCACTAACACTCCTCATGGCAGCAGATTCTGGTTTACTTTCCCTCCTAATCCTTCTCTATCTTAGTGTGGCATTTGATACTATCTCCCACAACATCCTCCTCCGCAGGCTTTCATCCATTGGCATCACCCATACACTCATCGCTTGGTTTCAGTCATATCTCTGGCCGCACTCAGTTTATCCAATTTAAGTCATTCACATCCCACTCCTCCCCCTTGACTTCAGGTGTGCCCCAAGGCTCTGTCCTGGGGCCCCTTCTTTACATCATCTACCTTTTCCCCCTTGGCAATATCTTCCGTAAATTTAACATTCACTTCCATTGTTTTGCCGACAACACCCAACTCTTATCCACTGCACCTAATTCTTCACTTCCTCGCTCACTTCCTGCTTAGCTGAAATTAAATCCTGGTTTACGTCTAACTTCCTTAAATTAAACAGTGATAAAACTCCATGGTTTCTCCCTCCCCTCACGTCAAGAGTCTGGGTGTCATTCTTGACAGCACTCTCTTTTCACGCTCACATCAATAATATTACCCGGTCTGCATACTTCCACCTTTGAAACATCAACCGTTGCAACCGATCGTCGTCATCAACTGTCATCCCTCTCCCCGCACTCTGCTTCCATCCTGGTCCAGCTTGGTCATTTCTCGAATTGATTACTGCATCTCTCAACTACTGCCTTTTCTCAATCTGCTCCCCAACTCTGGAACGCTCTTCCCCCAGACATCTGTAATATTGACTCCCTTCAGACCTTCAAATCACAACTCAAAACCCATCTGTTCAAGTTAGCCTTCTCACTTTAATTTCTTGTTCGTTTCTTCTTGGTTTAGTGTTTTATAGCCATTTTGTATTGTTTTATTTTGTGTTTTTAATGTTGTGAAGTGTCCTTGGGTGTCTTGAAATGTGCTAACAAATGAAATGCATTATTATTATTATTATTATTGTTATTATTGTTGTTGTTGTTGTTGTTGTTGTTGTTGTTGTTGTTGTTGTTGTTGTTGTTGTTGTTATTATTATTATTATTATTATTATTATTATTATTATTATTATTAAAACAGAGACACAGACTTGTATACATGCACACAGAGTAACAACCCCACACACCTTACAGGACACAAAGGTGGAGACAATAAGGGCAATTAACAGAAAAACCAGGGAGTCCAGATTTAACACACCTGTAACACCTAAAGAGTATGCTGTAGTTTTTGATGCTCTACCAAACTCCATGATGCAACTCTTCAAAGGAACAAAACCTGTTCGTTCATCCAGAGACCAACTTAGAAGCCCCATAATGCTAAAACATGCTCCAACAAACTTATAATATCATGTCTGCAGAACATTACTTTACCTCCTGGTAGATTTTTTTGGTCCTCTACTTTAATTGGAAACAAGTTTGATTAAATGGAGAAAT